CTCAGCCAGTCTGACTGGGGACTGTTCCCCCGGAAGGCAGCTTCATCTTAAACCATGTAGAAGAGACAGGAAGAATTGTTATCCTTTTGATGATTTCCCTCCCCAGAGTCCACCCTCGGTGCAGCTGCCTAGAGCCATAACAACGCATCTTCCTAAGTCTGCCCGCTTTTCTGAACTAATCAGAAGTATCATTTCCCCATGCATACTTTCCCTGACACTTTCAACTTGGTCCCATCTAACCCTCTCCCCCACCTCACACCCCACCCCACCAATTTGCACGTGACTACTTTCTGTCCAGTTTGCCTAACTCAAAAAGATCTTTGTCTTTTCTTCTCCATCTTCCTCCTCCTGGAAGCTCCAGAGATTTACTTGCCTGCCCTGAGATTTTTCTCTTAAACTCTATTAAAATTGTCCTGGGACTTTTCCGAAACTGTTCTTAGTTCTTTAAGATTCCTGAAGTGCACAATTTCCCCAGTAGTACTATCATCTACAGCTTCCTTTCTGGCTTGCATACTTTTACTCCTTTCCCCTGCCTAAGGTTGTGGCCAAGAATTCAAGTATTACAGTGGTGGGGCACATTGTGTCATCCTGATTTTTAGAGATATTTTCAGCACTTCCCATTTTGTATACTGTCAGCTACATGACTTTGTATACACAGCCTTTATTACACTGAGGTACAAATCCTTCTATTCTTAGTTTCTTTGAGACTTTTATTATGAAGAGATGTTGGATTTTGTCAAAAACATTTTCTTCACCTAGTGACATGTGATTTTTGTATTTTATTTATATGCTATATTCTATTTATTGATTTGCCCTTAGTGTATCACCCATATGGTTTTATCATACTGAGATAAAACAAACATGTTGGTATATGATCTTAATTATATGTTGTTAGATTTGATTTACAGTATTAAGAATCACTGCATCACTATTAAGAAAATTGCCTACATTTTCTTGTGTTCATTACTGATTTTGCTATCAAAGCAATACCAGATTTGTAGAATCAGTAGGAACACATTCCTTTTCAATTTTTTATGGAACAGTTTGAGTGTTGGCACAATTCATTTGTTAATCCATCTAGTCCTGGGCCATTGTTTGTCAGGACTCTATTAATCACTTGAATTTCATTGTTTTGTTTGTTTGTTTTTACCCTACAGTTGAATTTTGACAGGTCATGTGTCTAAATGTTTATTTACTTTCTCTGGATCTCCCAATTTAAGTGTTCTAAATACTCCCCGATGGTAGGGAGAAGGCTGTGGAACCCTAGTCATCCACCAGAACCAAGTCACTCTATGTCAAACAGGCTCCCTCTCAAGGTAAAGGTGCCTGGCTACATAGCAATCTGAGATGTAAAGAACAATACATAAATGGATTTCTTCTCTAAGCTAGCCTGTAGTGCAAGAGTCATTGTCAGACTATATTGAAGGTGTTTGAAAACTATGAGTATCTCCTACAGGGCTGTCAATCTGCCATGATCAGGGCTGCCTGACTTACCATCTAGTTGTGACTTCAGGTCCCCCTCCCAGGCAAGAGAGTCAGGGCTGGAGTTGTGAGCTGTTTATTTTCTTCACCACATTCCAGATTTTCCATGCTTTCCATCTGTCATCAGTCCTGATGATCATCTTCCTTTCCTCAGAATATCTTAGCTTCTCCTTTACTATTGACTCTTCTCATTAAGAGTCATCTGGAGAAACATTTCATCTACCATCTTACCCCCACAATACCATTTTTAAAGATAAAGAAACTATTAAATCTTTCCATAAACATCATTTGAAAGATTGGTTATTCCACGTTTTGCAACATTCTTTCTCAATTTGAAGCGAATATGACAAAACTACTAAAGGCATTGTAACAGCCCAGGCAGGTAAGCATTCCCCTGGGAGTAAGCATTGCTTTAATCCCAGCTGCCTTCTGTTTCTACATGCTCACATAAAGTCACTTTTATCAGAAAATTCTATCATGGAACCAAGTTTCTTCCAAGTATGTGGCAGCAGCAGTTCATGATGTCTTGGAACTCCCAGATACTTAAATCAGAAATTTCTATTAATTAGACATAGCTGAGAAGATGCCAGGCAGTAAGGCCTCTCTCCTCCCTCCCTCCCTTCCTAAAGAACAACTAATCAAAGTGTTAGCAGTCACATTACTTTCCAAAAGAACTAGTAAAAACTAAAAGCACTACTTCAAAACACCAAGTCATGCAGCTTTTATTTACCATTTAATATCTTTGGGGTATAGGTGAGGTTTTCCTTTCAAGTAAGTCTATTTCATGCTTAGGTAGCTAATAACATTGCAGATCTATGAAGAAGTTGCATATAAAATACAAAAATCTGTTACATATACATCCATTTAATGACAGATTGCACAGTTCAGTAAGTGCCAATGTCAAAATAACTCCCTGAACTTAACAAGCAGCATGAATATACTGTGACAGCAGCAGGTAGAAATGTTCCCCAAGGGCAGGCAGTGCTCACACAGCACAACTGCTGACAGAGCACCAACCAGTGAGGTCATATCTTTATTCTTTTCCTTGTTGGTTAATAATACATGAGTTTTTAAAAAGGAAGGGCAAAGCAATGGGGATTTGGTAGCCCCCTTATAAAGGTGGACTGTGTTATAGACAAGATCCCCTTGGAACTGTAAATTGGGCACAAACATTCAATGAAACAGCTGCTTTTGACTACCAAAACCGTAGCCCATTTTCATGTTTAACCCAACAGCCACATTTCAAACTTCTCCTTTTCACATATCAATAAAGATATAGTTAGTGAACTAATGGCAGGAATAAGAAACAGGTTCTACAAATTAGTTATTTGTGTGGCAAATAGAAGTAACTATATAGAGAAAAACCAAACCTGTTCAAGAATGCTTTTGCAAATAAAGACTGATGATCTATAAATGAATGTACAGGTACTTTTACCTCCTGTTCACCAGTCCCAACATTTCACAATTACAAAGTCCTGGTTATTAACCTTTGAAAATAAACATGTGTATACCAACTACAAACTACATTTGAAACAGTAACATTACTAGCTATGAAAATGATTTGACTGGCAAATATGAAGGCATTAAGTATATAAATTAGAAATGTGCTCAAGAAAGTAAAAGAAATGCAATTCAATAGCACTAAGGTTCAGGTGTCTTAGCACCACTCTCAGCACCAAGGGAAATCCCCAATATTAAATAACAAAAAGCTTTAAAAGCATAAAATTTGATGAGGTTTCAATATTTGCTACAGACCAAGTATGTCATTCTTGCCCTTACACTCTCACCTTCAACACACCTGACCTGCACTGTATTCTTGCCACGGAAGTACCCTGGGTACTACAAATGAAAGTCAGATAGGTCCTTAGTCATTCAATGCTGATCCCCAAACACCAAGACCCGAGAGGCCACAGCTTTCTGAAGAACATTTGAAGCCATTTGTTTTTCTCTAAAGCAAAAGTCTTTCTTAAATGCAATTCTACAATAGATTCCTTAAAATTCACGATGTTCTGCAAACTCACTAGTACAGTACAGTATCAGCCAAGATGATACTAAGCACTGAATATTTTAGTTGTAAACAGTTTTCATTCAGAAACATTCCCAAACATAGTAGTTCAGGTACTATTAATGACGGTATTGTTCAAACGTGAATAGCAACCTAGTTGTGAATTAGGAAACAAATGCAGTGAGTCTGAAGAACATTTACAACAAGAGACACACAGAGAGATGAAAATATATCAAACTTAACTATTTCTTCAAGAAATACTTATTTCAGTTAAAGATTTTACATTCAAACATACATCTCTCTCTCTCTCTCTCTCTCTCTCTCTCTCTCTCTCACACACACACACACATTCTGGGTCATGATGTAAAAGGCTATTCTTATTATGAGTCACAGTTAAAAATATTTTAAATACACTGGTCTGGAGAATACCAAACTAATAAACACTGAGTTTCCACCAAAAATATCGAACACACAGATTCCAGGTGTTGATGTCATTATGGGGACAGTACCAGATGTATAAATTAATTTTGTGCTCCAGAACCCAAGACAAGCTATAGAGTTTTTAGCTTACCATAAACCTTTAAGTTAAACCAACTTTGCACCCTTCAGCAGGTGCAGGAGCAGCAGAAAGCAGGGGAGGACCCCAGCAAGAGCAGTTCTCCGGGAGTGGTATCATGCTAATTCGAGAAAGGGCGTTTAAGAAAGAGAAATCCCTAGACAGTTAAATAAAAGGCTTTCCATCTATCCTACCACGTCTCACTGTACGCATGAAAAGCAGTAGAAAATGCTGCCGTTACAGTTTTGAGATTTTAAGTGGTCTAGACCAAGGCAGTCTCTAACTTTTACTGTTGTTTTAGATTTTGAAAAAATACATAATCACAGATACAGATAGAAGAACAATCTTGTTCCCATCTATTTTCATCTTCTAGTGAAAAGACTTTAATCAGAATGTTATGGAACCCCAATTATTCTCAACCTGTAAGCATGCTGAACAACCATTTCCTAAAAATTGACTACCTATACACAGGAAATGCACAGCATCTGACTTTCAAGAACCCAGTGATAAAGAGTCAGTTTAGCTCTGGTATAAGAACTGTTGTATGAGACCCTAAATGTACCTCTCTTTGGGAATTTCTAGGGTATGGCAAGGTAAACATTGGTTTTGTAGCAGGTTGAGAAAAGTATCTAGGACAGGACATTAAACTCTGGGTATGGCCTTGACTCTGCCCTCAGGAAAGAAGCTGTAATCCCCAACCCTATTACTTTGGGTATGCAAGTGGATTATAAATCGAGTGACTTACAGGATCCCTTCCTGCAATAACTTTAGCTTGGATGTAGTTCAAAGATTTTAATCCAGCTTTGCCCTGTATTCCATTTATAATAGTTTCAGTTCTTTTAGCAACAATGGCTGGCAGACTTATTTACAACTACCTTTTGAAAACCCAAGTTCTACTAAGCACACTTAGCCCACATACTTTAAAGACATGTAAAATAAAGCTAATAAGAAGCAAAATTTAAGGCTTTTTTTTTTTTATTTCAGCCAAGGAATGATGCATGCTACAGAGTAATCTTTACTCCCCCACTTGGTTTTTAAAGAATACCACCATTTCCAAACTTCCATCCCAAAAGAACATGGCACTTGTTTCTTTCCTCCCATTCTCACTCATTCCAGACTTTCAAGTGTTTTCTTCAATACTGAGGCTTTCTCCTGCAGTTCGGGTCTGTTGTCTGTCTCCATAGTAGCTAAAGACTCAACCAAGAGTCTTCTGCATTCTGCTGTCAGACTTTCCCACTGTTTAGCTTCTGAATGAAAAGAAAAAAAGAAAGAAAATCATTATAGAACAAGCAAGGAGAAAAAAAAAATCCTAACCTTTCTTCCATATATCCTATCCCCCAAGCAATGAGACAGCCACTGTCTAATAAAGAGAACAGCATGTAACAGTCACAGGCTGGAGAGGGGTCTAAAACCTCTCCCCCCCACCCCACCCCCGTCAACAGCCTGAGAGCATGTCAGGGAGCTTCTTCACCCCTTCCTTCCGCAGTGTGAATGAGACCCAGGGAGATGAGCTACACTACAGCGAAGTGGGAAGAGTGATGCATCCAAGCACAGGAGCAAAACAGGCATCTCAGCCATAACAGAGGGCTATTTAGTAATTTACATGCCAAAAAATTGATAAGTTTCATAATTGCACAGTTTAAGTAGATAACACTTTATTACCCCTTTCTTAACAGAAAGCCCTGGAGAGCCATGTAAGTACTGAAATTTTTAAAAAAATAAGAAAGCACAGCAAATCTTAACTCCATTTATAATGCTCTGTCTCTAGTGATGTGACTTCAAGCAAGTAATTATCGTCGTATCAGGGTCTCCTGTAGTTCAAGCTGGCCTTAGATTCCCGATCCTCTTGCCTCACCTCTCAAGGCTGGGATTACAGGCCTATACCACCATGTCCAGCTTAAGCAAGTTATTTTACCTCACTTTTGTTATCTAGACCATATTAATATCTACCTGGAAAAATGGGAATTCAACCATATGGCTAAGTGCCTAGGCTTTTTTATTTTAAGAAAAAAAAAAGTACACTGTGCGATACTTAGTATCACTGAGTCTAAAGGGCCCATTTTGCAGAGACCTAGGATATGCTGCTAAGAAAAAAGAGGGGAAGTACAAACGCCAAGTTCACAAGGCTGTGATGAAAACGGTTTCATTTCTGCACATTAATTCATCAACTAGGAGAACAGCAAAAAGAGAAGGAAGTGAAGGAAGAAGGGAAAATGGGTTTCTCTTTGAAACCAGAGACAGTTCTATAACATGGGGGAGAGAAGCTGAGAAGCTGTTTTGCTTCTACCATTGGCACAACAGAATCTCTAGGTTTCTTAAAGGAGAAAGAGAAAGAAATGGAGGACTAAAACATGCTTTGGGGAATATGTGACTCAAGTGGGTCTTTGACTGACAGCTTGCAGCTCTTCCTTGTGTCCTGTTATTTACATGCACACCACAGGCTCTGCTCTGTCACCATCACCACTTCTTGAGATTAACTAAGATTCCTAAGAGTTCATGATGGAAACAAAATTTTATTACTTCAATTACTTCAAGATAACTCTAGCTTAATAATTCATTAGAAATATATGAACATAGAGAACAACATTGAAATCTTTAAAATTTTGTGACTTTAGTTCTGTATAGTCTACTTGTATGTACACATACATTAATGTGTATTTATACCATCAGTAAAAACAGAAATAAAAAATTTCTAAAGTATATGCCATGAAATACCCTAGATTTTTGGTGCTCTAATCAGAAGAACTCACCTTCAAGTTTTTTAAGCAGTAATTCTACCACAGATAAAGCTTCTGTTCTCACAGATGAGTAGGTCTTATTTTCTAAGAGGAAAAACATGCAATTCATAAGTATGTTTTAAAGACAGAGCTCCCAAGATTAAATTAATGTTTCTGAAACAAAAAAAGTTAAAACTCTGTGGATTCATTTTGGAAGTAAACTTCTATTTGCTAATTATTATCAAATACTTAAAATTATGCTATATATCCACATTCACTATTTTGAGGCACTGTAGACCATGGTAATATTTAAAGACCCATCTTAGATGTAGGAGATCAAAAGACACTATCCCAAACACACAGTCATCATCATGTCATACATAAGACAGGTCTTTGATTTGTATGATCCTCATTTTACCAAAGAGCATCATCTAGGAACACCTAGAAACCTGAAAAGACAATTCTGTTAGCTTCCAGTTCTACATCCACAAAAGCATGCTACTTGTAAGAATTACAAATAAAATAAGTTTTGTTGATACATACATACTCTTTCACAAAAGGCATTAAGTTTTTGGAGAAAATGTCTTGTTGCATGAATCCTAAATGGTCTTATAATAAAAACCCAGAGTCAGATAGACATCAAGATGAAAGCAGAGCAAGCCACAACTACTACTTCTCACCTCACCAACTTCTTAACCTGAAAGAGAGCATCCTATCTCCACGAATCCTCAGACTGAGTGCCCCAGGGTCCTCAGCGAAAGGGCACCGAACTCCTGTCTCCTCCTGCCTTATATTCCTTTTTCTGCCCACCCCATCACTTCCTGTCTCAACCTTCCAAGTGCTGGGATTAAAGGTATGTGACTCTCAAATACTGGGATTAAAGGTATATGACACCACTGCCTGGCTGTTTCTCTTTTAGACTGGATTAATCTCGTGTAGCTCTGGGTGGCTTTGAACTCAGAGATCCAGACGGATCTCTGCCCCCTGAGTGCTAGGATTAAAGGTGTGTGCCACCACTGCCTGGCCTCTGTGGCTAACTCTCTGGCTGGCTCTGTCCTCTGATCTTCAGGCAAGTTTTATTTCTTAGATTACAAACAATACATCTCCACAATGTCTAACCAAAATTAATATGCATCCAAATCCAGGGCAGTGAATTATTGCAAAAAAATAATTGTGATCCACCAAAAGGACAGGGAATCCGCTTGAAGGGACTTCCATTAGCCATATTTAGAACAATTAAGTAACCAATTAATTAATGAAAATAATCAGGGGCTGGCGAGATGGCTCAGCAGCATGTAATCCTGAGGCCCAGAGTTCAAGTCCCAGTCCACACATAGCCTGTAACTTCAGTTCCATGAGAACCTAACACCTCTGGCCTCTGTGGACACTAGTACTCATTTGAACATACACATGATAAAAGATAAATCCTAAAAATAATTAATTACAAAACATTGAGAGGTTGTTGGGGAGGTATGAATCAATACCAGTTAATGATGCATAAATAAATAGGAAGAAGAGAAGAATCTTGTTCAAAATAAAATGCCAACTACCAAATAGTTAATGTGGAGAAAGAGCTTGAGTTGAAAAAAATCATCATAGAAAAAAACTGGCTCAGAGAAGAATCATCAAATGTATGCAAAATCTAAAGAATAAACTTTGAAGAGAAGTACATTTACATGGTCTTATGTTGTCTTCTCACAAACTGTTTAATAGATGCAGTTTTGAAGGAGATTATTTGAATGATCCTAAAGTATGTTCTCAAGCACTATCTATTAGACATGAGGAAAATAAGAACGATACTAGAGAGAAAATCCATAGCACCTTGATTAGGTAAACAGAATTAACATTGAAAAATCAGGAAAGCTGTGAACACGGCATGCCTCTTGCTGTGAGGGAAAACATTATTAACATCAGAATTCATAAGCTAGATCCAAGCCTGAGGAAATGCCAAACAAACAGCAAATGAGAACTATTTTTTCCAGAGGAGAGAGGGAAAGGCTTTATCCTTCAAACTCATGAATATAGGAGAAAGAAAGGCTGAAGGAGGGTACCAGTTGAAAAAAGACTAAAGGCTGGATGTGGTGGCTCACACCTTTGATCCCAGCACTCTGGAAGCAGAGGCAGGAGGATCTCTGTGAGTTCGAGGCCAGCCTGGACTAGACAGCGAGTTTGAGAATACCCAAGGCAACAAAGAGAAACCCTGTCTAGAAAAGAAAAAAGAGAGACTATAAAATTATGACAATTATATTTAATATGTGGTCCTGGGTTATATTTTTTAATGAAGAATTGAAGGGGATGTGAGATCTTACAAAAAAATTACTTAAGAAATTACAATATGAATGAGAAAAAAATTGATAAAAGAACACTGCATCCATGCAATATTGTATATATTTGATAACTATACTGTTGTTATAAAAAGGAATATACACTTAAGAATTTAAGAATAAAGATACATGTTATAATCAATATACTTTTGAAAGGCTCAGGAAAAAGATACATACAGAAAGAAGCCCTAAAGATAAAGGGAACACAGTGTTCCCTATCCACAGCTAATGGCTCTTGATTAAGTATATACAGGTACTAACGGAACTATTTTAACAGCTGTTTTATAAAACTGGAAACTATTTTTAAATAAATATTTAATGCTGACGTAAAGGTTCAAACCTAAAATTCTACTGTAATTCCAAATAAAACACCCTTGTTAGGGGACATATAGCATATAAACAGAACAGTCAGTAGTTGTTCCAGAAATCTAGATCCTGAGACTCAGCTCCTTAGTTTTAAAATCAAAGTTACTTAAGCAAAGTATGGTGACTATGGTGGTTTGAGCAGGAATGTCCCCCACAGTCTTAAGTGTTTGAATGATTCGCCCACATGGAGTGGCACTATACTGGTGGGTGTGGCCTTGCTGGAGTAGGCGTGACCTTGTCAGAGAAAGTTTATCACTAAGGGGGCCGGCAATGAGGTCTCCTATGCTCAAGCTAAGCCCAGTGTAGCACTCAGTCTCCTGCTGCTGCCTGCGCATCAAGATGTAGCTACTTCTCCAACACATTGCCGTTTCCCACTATGATGATAATGGACTGAAGTTCTGACACTGTAAGCCAGCCCCAGTTAAATGTTTTCCTTTAAAAGAGTTGCCTTGGTCATGGTGTTTCTTTACGGCAATGGAAATCCTAACTAAGACAGTGACACAAACTATAATCCTAGCTACCTGGGTGACTGGGGCCATAAACTCAATCCCAACCTAGGCAGCATAGAGACCCTAACTCAAAACAAAAAAGGGGTGAGGATGTAGCTCAGTGGTAGGGTGCCTGCCCAGTAGCATGCATGAAGGACTGTGCCTGACCACCAGCACCAGTTCCAGAAACAAAATAAACAGCAATAAAAAACTATTCAAGATCTAGTTACTCGGGCCTGCACAGCTTGGCGCTGGGTTCTGGCCACCGGACAGCTCCCCTTCTAGCCTCACCGGGAGGGATCCCCTTTTCCAAGCCCCCCGACAGCCCCTGCAGTCTCCGCGCCCTGCCCCCACGCCCATCTGCCCGAGACTCC